CGATCTGAAACTTGCCCAGCTAATGCATAGGCTAGGTGCTCCGCAAAAGCAGGGGTCTGGGGGAGGGAGCCAGCCACGGGGCCTCGAAGGACAGCCAGGACATCTTCGCTCTCAGGCCGCAACAGGGCGATGGCCCAAGCCGCCCTCCGAAGACATCTCAACGCTTGCTTCGTGCATGACCCATCTGCGGCTAACTCCATCAATTGATGTTCCCCCAGAAGCTGTCCCACCTGCTCGGGAGTCTGAGGGATCTCTTCGCCATCACCCCCCACAACACAACAATCACTCGACGCACACGGGGGGGGAACCTCACTGGGATCGAAGACGAAGAGCCCTCTGGTATAAATCGGATCAGTGCTCTCGCATCCTGCCGAAATGAACGACTCTGGAATCTCAGCTGCTTCTCTGGCCTCTCTGACCTCTGGCAGATCACAAGTGTATAACCTATGGTGCAGCGTGTCTACTCTACCGCACCTGCATTTGCCCGAGGTTGTGTACCCCGAGAGTCGAGCTCGCTCTTCAGTCCAGAGAGCATCGCAGGCACAACACCGAACCAGAAACTGTTGGTATCGTGTAAACTTTTTGCTGCTCGAGGCACAAATCTGCTTGCGCACAAGGTCAAACGTCGCACAGTGCGCCTGCTTAAAGCCAAGCTTGCGCGCCAAGGCCTGTTCATGCTGGCGCTGTAGCCCGGCCTCGAGCAACTCTAAAAGCAACCCTGGAGTCAACTGACCGATGTTGACTTGTAGACCGTTGTGGTCTGTCCAGAGGAGCGGATCGGGTGCATCCCATCCTGCACGACAAGCTGCGAGCCTCGCTCTCGAGAGGGGCCCTTTGCTCGCATTCCAGGATCGGGGACTGCTAGCTTTGGCTTCTCGCCACATTCTACACAAATCATGCGTGGAGACAAGTGCTCGGTCGGCGTTAGACTGAGCCAGCCACAACATACGACACCACTGCAACGCGGGAGCTAACGCCGACCTCGCACTCTCATCTCCAAAAAGAACCGTTTTTGCACTTAAACTTGTTCCTCCATGCTGGGGGGAATGCACTCGGCTTTGGAGCCGACGAAAGTTAAACCATTCCAGATTGTTTAGGCCCAGGACCTCGGTGCCGAAGGCAGCACCCGTGGAGACACCAGTCTTCAAAACTCGCTGAAAGGACTTCCTAGTGCAACCTGCTACTGTACGCGCAAGTCGCTTGTGCTTCCTGAGCCTGAAACGCATCTTGGAAAATCGTGTTCGCTGCTTATCCCTGGCATGCGGCCTAGTACGTTGAGAGGCTCCAGACTGATCTACCCCGAGATACGCAACACTCGTTAGTGCAGCCTCTCGAGGGAAACGTAATTCTTTACAAACCTCTCTGGCTAGGCCGTCTGTACTGGAAATTACCGCTATCTTATCATTCAGCTTGGCCTGAAGCTCTTGCGCACAAAGTTTGAAATCTCTACCTGCTGAGACGGCCATAGACTTGGCTATCTGCCTGTCACTGCTAGCTATTCCGATGGCACTGTCATCTATATAGCTGAGAAAACCGATAAAAGGCTGCCTGACTAGGAAGGAATCGAATTCCCGAACCGCGTGTATCTTGATCGAGATATCGTTAAAGACATCTCCCGCGGGCAGCCCTCCTTCTGCGAAGAGCACACTCTGGGCATGGTGCTGACCTAGCCGCAAGAGTCGTGGGCCCTTCCAAACATTATAAACCAGTTTCAGGAAACTAAGCGGCACGTTGAACCTCAAAAACTTGTCCCTGAGAGCTTCTAGGGGAATCGTTTCGTAATACTTCGAAAAATCGGCCACTATTAAAACGCTGTGCTTATTCTGCTCGGCATCGCTCTCACTGCGCGCTGCCTGGAGCCAGGCGCAATCCACTGCTGAACGACCTTTCGACGCCCCCCAGTAACGACGATCGACCAGACGATTCACTTCCGTCAGCAGTGGGCGCCGCAGTCTTTGCCAAACACGGTACATGCCAGCGTAAAGCACTATGAGACGGTTTCCCCCTTTGGGTTTTGGGAGCATGGGTTGGACCACCCACAAAAGTTGCCGAGGGAGCAAACCGATGGCCTCGCAGGCCTGCCAAAGAGAACTTAAAACCTCAAGTCCTGAATCGTCCAGGGCCAACACAAAACGCGGGTGAAAATGATCAAGACTGCTGGAGGTACTGCGCGAAAAAGTGCGTCCTACCTCTCGTATCGCTGTAACAGAAGCTCGTTCACAAGACGACCGATCAGGGATCCACGCCCGAGGAGGCTCCGACGTCGCACCCCAGAGTTTCTTATACAGCGATACCTCGTTCTGCACAATACTGATGGTGTCCGCAGTGGGTCCATTCGGGCCTTGCACGATCGTAGCAGCTCGGACCTGGCGGACAGCAGTGATCTTGTGAAAGCCTCGCGACCCTGCTGCTCGAGCGGCCACGCACCAGTCGTGCCACGAGTCTCTCTGTTCCTTACTTTCTCCTTTAGCTGCAAACTCGACATCTGAGTCTATATCGTCTAAAAAACTTTGCAGCGCCTCGGAGTCTATTTCCTCAGTGCTGACTAAACCTCTCGCCACTTGAACGGACCGCTCAAGGCGAGCACTCAACCCCAGGCCTGGGAATTCATCAACTAAAAAGCTTGAGACCTCTTGTGCAAGCATCATCTGATTTTGAGCCGTGTCGGCCACGCGGGAGAAGACCAGGACCTGACCAACAGCATTTTGGAGCCACTTCCAGCCGTCGGCGATCGCTTGCACATCACTGGAGGTCTTAGTCGTACAACAAACTTCGACCCACCGCGCTTTTAAACATCGCCCGAAAGCCCCTGGGTTCTTCAAAGGCTGCCCTGCCCTCTCACCGAGGTATCTGGCCGCTGTAGTGGCGAAACGACCCCAGGCATTCGAAAGCATGGCCCAGGCCACGCTCGGAGCAACTGAAGAATCCGAAGCAGCCTCGCAGGCATCCTGGGCTAGACGTTGCTCGATGGACCAGGTCGGTGGTTGAGGAGCAGGGCCTATCGGGAACTCTTTGGGCAGCGCAGGGGTAACTGAGTAAACTAAATGTTTGAGTTTAAACCCGTTATCTGAGATGGCTAGACGGATAGGCCGATGAGGCTTAACCGTCCAGCGCATATCGACCGTTAGCTTCTTAAAACCTCGCATTAAGGTGTCATTCAAACAGTAAAAATCAATGATGCTGGAACCTGTCCCCCCTCGACAAGTTGGCACCGCAGGCGCCAGCACACACAAATCCGCCAGGACAGGAAACTCCGACGCCTCCAAAGCTTCTGGGGTCAGGTTCCAATCGCCTGCACAAAAAGCAGGTCCAGAAACCGTTTGCATCATTCTGCCTAGCTCAGCGAGGATGGGGGCATTAGGCCCGCTAGGGCCTACCTGCGGGTGGAGGTAGAGGTTGAACACCGTGATGGCGGGCCAGCCTGGTAGGTCGACCTCGACTCGTTGTAGTCGGGCTGGGAAGAGACACTCAGCTCCGACTGCAGGTGGTCGAAGTCCGACTCCAGTCCGAACAAACACAGCGACACCAGCTCCAGTGTTGTGACCTGCCGTTGCTTTCGGCGAAAGAGCTCGCATTGACCAACCTCGCGCAGCGCACCAGGAGTCAAGAGCTTCAAGATCCGCTTCAAGATGTCCGATCTCTTGCATCAAAATCACTTTCGCCGAACTCTTCTCGAGCCTCTTCTTCACTGTGCGTTTCCCACCGTTAGCGTTGAACGATTCGAACTCATGGAACGTATCATCGTGTTCGGCGTCTGCTGCAGGAACTGTTCCATGATGAGATAACTTGAAACCACTCACTCGGGGAAAATCAAACTTGGGATCGCGCACTGTCGGATCCTCAGAACAGACGACGCCGCACTCGGATGCCAGCGTACACGAAGAAGTTAATACCGTAGAACTTGTTGCCCTCGTAGCAGTAGACGAACAGGTGGGCCTTCCCTCCAGCGATTCCCTAGGCTGGGATCCCTCTCCTCGCCCACTGCAAGCCTGAACCTGCAGCTGCGTTGGGGGTGTCGTCCAGCCAAGGGTCTCAGCCGTCTCAGGGTCAGGCCGCAACGTGGACGACGGGGATGCCGTAGCACTGCAGGACGCCGAAGACGAACTCCTGCCAGACAGCCCCCACAGCCATCGCCGCAAACAGAAAGCGTTAGGAACTGGAACTGACTTTTGCACGCTTGACGGAGAACTCGGCAAGCTTTTGTCGAAACTGCTCTTTATCTCCTGCCAGGGAGAACAAAATCTCGTGTTCTGGTTCGGTGAGGTCCTCATACATGCGCTTCTCCCCTGCAGCTTGTCCATCATCGCCAGGCTCGGCTGCAGCGGCATTATCAGTAGGCTTACCATCACCATCACCGTCAACATCCATCTTAGTGGGCAACTTAGAAGCCCTCTGCGTGAGTAAAGACTGGAGCATCTTCCACTCAGGGCTCTCGAGGAAAGGGATGAGCTCTTTGGGAACCTCGTCTGGCTCGGACCCAAAATCAAAGAGCTGCGAGAGGTCGGGCGCCTGCTTCGCATCCTCGGTCGAGGTCGTGACATGCTTAGCCGTTTCAGCAAATTCGACCTCCAGCGCCTCCACTTCCCTTTGCTTTGCCACAATCTCATCCTGTCTTTTCGCGATCGACTCACGAAGTCCTTCAATCTGCTTCTGCTTTTCTCTAAGCTCATCTTGCATCTTCTGCAACGATGTACGTGCCCGACTGAGGTCCTGCGCTGCCCGTCTGTGTGCAGTCGTAGGGGATCGCAGCTGCTTGTGCTGGTTGCGAAGATCTTTGAGCCGCTCTTCAATCGGGGTCTTGATGCATTCATTACCGTTGTTGCAGCGGAGTCGCTTAAGCACATCTTCCAACTCATAGATCTCTTGCATGATGGCATCTCGCTTGGCACCGTTGTCGGCCTTCTCCTCAGCCTGTGCGTCTGTGCCTCCAGCTGTGGGCGGCTCAGAAATATGCCATGGCGGCTTGCCTCCCGTGCCAGAAGACTTGACTGCTGCACCAGGTGCCGCTGGCGTGGTGCCTGACTGCACGGCCTTGAGCACCTGTGCCAGCTGGTTCTCGAGCCGCTGGAGCTTTCCGTTGTCAACGCCGCCGTCGCTACCCTTGCCCTTCGATCCATTACCACTTTTACCTTTTGACTTTGCATGCGAGGGTCCGTTCTGCGCCCAAGCTGCTGCATTCTCTTTTGCTCGTTGAACAATCCTGGACGGGGCTGGATTGCCGCACTGACACACCACTCGACTCGCCCAATTCTGGGCCGCTCCACAGCGGCCGCACCCCCAGACAGGGTACCTCGGTCCCAGGAGAACCGCTTCCTGCCTGGCAGGTGGTGCCATGGGCCGGCCGTAATGGTGAGCAAAGTGGGGCTGGGCCGTGCGGGGCGGACCGCACGGCGCTCTGCCTGGGGCGAACCAGGCGAAAGACGAAAGCTGGCCGCGGACTAGCGGTATCCACTTTGTTCCCAGGGGAAACCAAAACCTTGAGCCAAAATGGCTTGAGCCAAAATGGCTACGGAGGAGGAGGAGGAGGAGGAGGAGGAGGAGGAGGAGGAGGAGCAGGAGGGGATTGGAGGGAAAAGGGAGGGGAAGGGGGGGGGGGAGAGCCTGGGCCGGGGACGCCCCCGTCGGCGCCCGGGCCTGCGCAGCGAGCCCCTGCTGGCCGGACACACCGCCCTGGCCGACGTGGCCCCCCTCGTCGACGGGGGCCTCATGCCCGCGGGCCGCGCCTCGCTCAGCGGCCGGGGCGACTGGGCCTCCGCGCCGCTCGGGGGCAGCCTGGAGCGGGTGCTGGCCGAGTCGACCGCGTACGCCAACAACGCGGGGATGTATATGCCCAGCCTCGGGTCGGGCGTGTCCGTTTTGCAGGGGGGAGTATCCAAGCCTTCGGGGGGCGATGTTTCTGACAGGTCTGGCTGGTTTTGAGCCTGCTTTGGCTCTTCTTCCTCGTTCTGCCAAGATCCGCCTATAGGAGGACATGCCCGACCTAAGCCCAGCCTGGCGGAGCTCTGCCTGGCGGCGACGGACGCGCTCGGCTGGCCCACGACCTGCAACGTCTACATGTCCGACCCGGGCCGTGCCGTGTCGGTGCCGCCCCACACCGACCGCCAGGACGTGCTGGTGCTGCAGACGTCGGGCCGCAAGCGCTGGACGGTCTACGCGCCCACGCCCGTGGGCGAGGCGGACCCGCTTCGGCGCGGCAAGGACGGCGACGCCATCTGCCGGGATTCGCTGGGCGGGCCGCTGCTGGACGTCACGCTGCTGCCAGGCGACCTCCTATATGTGCCCCTTGGCTTCCCGCACGAGACGTCCACCGTGTGCACCGCCAGCTGCGGTCGCTCGCGGGAAGATGGCCCGGCCGCGCTGGACCCTTCTGTGCACATCACCGTGAACGTGGACTCCCTCATCGTTGCGTGATATCCGGCCCCGAACCGAGCCTCCGGGTCGATCATGGAGGACGCCGCGGCGATCGCGGCGACCCCAAATCGGGGCAAGGTTCTTTGTCAAGGAGTGGCATGCCCTTCCCCCCCCCCCGCCCTGCGATGCAGTCTTGGATCACAGCCAACCATACAGCGACAGAGGTTTGCCAGTGTATGCCAGTAGGGGAAAAAGACAGACACAAGCAATGCTCGATTCCCAGGAACATATGGGAAAGTATGGGAAGAAGGGGGGCAGACGATAATCCAGAGAACATGAGAAAAGATGGGGAATCTTCGGACTTGTGTGTGCTTGTTCGTGTGTCCCTGGGCCTGGGTCCAGCATGGGCAGCCAGTCTCTTGTGAGGGTCGACTCTCACGCAGCCCATCTGGGGCCTGTCCTACCGCCTGCTCTGGGCGGCCGCGCAGCGCGGGGCTCGCCTGCACGCTGGTCTGGCCGACGCGCCCGAGGAAGCGGCCTCGACCGCGGGCATGTCCTGGGAGAGGTACAGCGCGCTCCAGTCGCCCCTGCCGCTGGGCTTCCTCGAGGGCGCCGTGAGCGCGCCCGCAGGAGCGGGAGAAGAGCGGCACACGGTCTCTGGAGGACGATCACCATGGAGAGGAAGCGTGCTGCCAAATGATTCTTCCAGATGTCTAGAACATGTGCTAGAACTGTTGAAAAGTGTAAGAAACATGCTTTTAGACATTTCCAGGACATTTTTTCCCCCGACAGTTTAAACACATTTCTCATTCGATGATAGGACTGTTTGGGTGTCCAGTGTCGTGGGGGCGCCTTCTTGTTTCTGGCCGTCGGGGGGGGGGCCTGCCCGCGTGGCGGCCGCCGGCGAGTCTGTGCCCCGACGTGCCGCCTCCGGGGCAGGCGTGTTTTTTCCGGCCGCCCTCCTGCTTGGGGCAGGCGTCCCCGGCGGCGCAAGAGTTCAGGAGGGAGAGAAACACACAGAGGCAAGTAGTCGTGGATCCCCCAGAAGAAAATTGGGAAAGTATGGGGAGTGGTGGGGGGGAAAGACAGAAACCCCGAACATGGGGGGAAGTATGGGGAAGCAGGTTGTCTGTGTCTGTTTATTTGTGTGTCCCAGGGCCTCTTCAGAAAAGCTGCTGCTGTGCCGTTTTTCGCCCGCTGACCGCAGCTGCCGACGCCCGCGAGCTGCGGCGGCGCGCGGCGACGTGGCGCGGTCTGCCTTCCGACGCGGAGGAGTTCTCCGCGGTGGCGGACGACCACGTTGCCGCGGCGGCGGGGATGCTGCTGCGCCACAGGGAGGCAGTGCTGAGGCTGCACAGGCAGATGTACCTGGACGTGCTGCTCGGGCTGTCCAGCGCGCCGCCGCTGGAGCGGGAGATGGGGCACTGGGCGCTGCTGCAGGAGCAGATGGCCGCGCTCCGGTCGGAGATGGGCTGGGGCTGACCCTCCGCATCGTTCAGCGGGTCCCTCTCCCCTTCTCCATCCCCGTCCAGGTCCCCACCATCCCACCACCCGTTGTTGGGGAGATGCCCCTCGAAACTCGAAGGAAAAGAGCCTATACCCCCATCCAGGGGGATAAGTCGGCCAGTGGGGCCCAGGCCACGCCCGTGAGGATAGGGATCGGCGAAACGATGCTCACCCCCTGGGGCCGCTCCCGCGCGCCGGTCCGCGGTCGGACGCCTCCGTGGGCGGGAGAAGCGCAAGGCGCCTTCCCCACACCCTCCCATCGGCGGTGAATCCAGCGAGGGGGGAAGCGAGAGAGGTGTGTTGTCCTTGTGTGGCCAGAGTGTTGGTTTGACCGTAGATCAAACCGACGAGAACGGCGAAGCGGTGCCAGTTTTCGTTGACGCGTGTGCGTGTTCGTGGAAGATCGAGTGTTATTGTGTTTTGTCGGTTTTACTGTAACGTTTTTTGTGCTGTTTCTCTGTTTGAGCGTTGCTAAAAAGGCGGCGGGGCTTCTGCTGGAGGCCCTCTTGGAGCCCTCTTGGAGGCCTCTTGGGCCGTCTTGGGCCAGCTTCGAGCTAACTTCGGCCATCTTGGTTGGTTTCTGCCACGTCTGACGCCGTCGGGAGCCGTCTTGGGGGCCTTTCTGGGCCGACTTGGGGCCCTCTTGGGGGTCTTCGGGGCCGTCTTGGAGGCCATCTTGGGCGTCTTGGAGGCCATCTGGGGCGTGTTGGAGGCCTCTTGGGTCGTCTTGGGGCCCTCTTGGGGCCGTCTTGGAGGCCACTTGGGCCGTCATGGGGCCCTCTTGGGGGCCTCTTGGGCGATCTTGGGGGCCTCTTCGGCCGTCTTGAGCCGTCGGACTGCCGAGAAGAAGCAAATTCCTCTATCCTTCAAAAACTAAGGGAAAATCAATGATTTTGGCCTCTTCGGGCCCTCCTAGAGGACCTCTTCGAGGCCTCTTGGGCCGTCTTGGATGCCTCTTCGGGGCCTCTTGGGCGGTCTTGGGCCAGCTTGAGACCATCTTAGGCCGTCTTGGGTGCATCTTGGGCCGTCTTGGAGGCATCTTGGGGCCATCTTAGCCGTCTTGGAGGCCATCTTGGCCGTCTTGAAAGCATCTTGGACGCCATCTTGGGCCATCTTGGAGCCGTTTGGCGCAGGAAAGCCCACGGCAACCACCTCCGGAAGAGCCTCCCGGGACCCCGGCGGGACGGGCCGAAGCCCCAGGGGGAGTTATTTTGGAAAAACAACCAAAACCAAAAACCATACCATCCGGCAGGCCAGGCACCCCTTTGATAAATCAAAAGGGGAGGGCGGATCCTAGTGGCCTTCGGCCCATCCCACCACCGTGTCTGGGTTGTGGGTCTATATGTGTTGGGGGGTGTCGTGGGGAGCCTCTCGGAGGCCTCTTGAAAGCGGTTTCGGCGTCTCTTGGGGGCTTCATGGGGCCTCATCGGGTATCTTTTGGGCCTCTTGGGGCCTTCTTTTGGTGTTGAGCGGGGCGCCTCTTGGGGCCTCTTCGGGCATCCTGGGGGCTTCTCGGGGCTTCCCGAAGCGCTTCTTGGGCCATCTTGGAGCCCTCTCGGGCCGTCTTGGGGCCCTCTTGGAGGCGTCTTAGGCTGTCTTGGGGCGGTTTTGGGAGCTTCTTGAGCCATCTAGGAGCGTCGGAAAGCCGAAAATGCGAGAACCCCAAATTCCTTCAACAACTTTTTTGTTTCATCGACGATGTTGGCCTCTTGGGGCTCTCTCGGGAGGCCTCTTGGAACGCTCTTGGGGCCTCTTGGGGCCCTCTTGGGCCGTCTTGGAACCATCTTCGGGCGCCTCGGAGCACTCTTGGCCTCGGCAATACGAATATGTCCCAAGTTGCGAGGTTTTATGGCCATGTGGACGCGAACATGTGATACTTCACAAGGGTTTGTTTCCTCGGGCACGCAATAATGTAGCACATTGAAGGGGTTTGTAGCCTCGGGGACGTGAATATTATGTAATATACGAGGGAGTCTTGGCTTCGGGGACGACTATTGAGCAATCTGCGAGGGTTTGTGACGTCGGGGGCGCGAATATGGAATAATTTACAACGGATTCTGGCTTCGGGGACGCGAATCTTTCGTAATTTACGAGGGTTCGTTGCTTCGGGGACGCACCACTTAAGTCATTTGCGATGGTTTGTTGCCTCGGGAACGCGATCATCGTGTAATTTCTCGAGAATCTGTTGTTCCGCGGACGCAAGATTTGCTTATTTTGCGACGGTTATTGGCTTTGGGGGCGCGAATGTAGCGTAATTTACAAGGGATCGTGGCCTCGAGGGCGATATTGTGGAGTACTGTATGTGGGATCGTGGCCCCAGAGGTGCGAATGCAGATCAATTTGTGGGAGATCGTGGCCTCGGGGGCCCGGATATGATGCATTTTACACGGGATCGTGGCTTCGGGGACGCGAATGTGGCGTAATTTACGATGGATCGTGGCCTCTGGGATGCGAATACAGTGTAAATTGTGAGGGGGTATTGCGTTGGGAGTGCGAATCTCGTGTATTTTTTTCGTGTCCAACGGCCCCGCAGGAATTCTGATCACCCGATTCGGGGAAGGTATCTGGACGCTTTTCGGCTCCCCCCCCTCGCGCGGACTTCAACAATTTACAGTAGAAAGCAGAAAGCAGGATTGTAACATTTGAGGACTGGAAACTGGAACTGGTGCAGGTTACTGAAACCGAAGCCTCGCAGCCTGATGGCCCCACAAGGGGGCCGGCGGATATTTGCCGCTCGTGGTTTTAATGTTTTTGTTGTTGGCCGTGTATCTCCCTGGGGGTCTCACCATTTTCGGTGTCTGGGGGTGGGGGCCGTATCTCGGTCCTTGCGGCTGTGAAAAGAACGACGCGGGACGAAGTGCCGATAATCGGGGTCCGCGGCCTTACCTCCCTTTCCTCAGAGGAGGAATGATCACGATTCCGCTGCCCTGGCCTCGTTTTCGCCTTTTAGGAGGCCCTCGTCGCCATGGCTGGATTCGCATTGGAATCCTGGTCAGAATGCACCCCAGGATAGGTCCGGGAAGTAGCAGTTTCGGTATTTCTGAGGACAATCCTGGAGGCCTCGCGCGGCGCGTAATATGTGTATGATCTAGTCCACGCGAGCTTCGTAAGCCATGGGTCGACGCTTGCGCGGCGATGCTTTGGCGTCAGTCCGACGTGAATCCGACGTAATTCCGACGGCGTAGTCTGACGTGAACCCGACGTAATTTCGACGTGGATCCGACGTAAATCGGGTCTCAAGGTGCCGCGTGATGCATTCAGGATTTTCCTCATAACGGTACCTTTTGGTTTCCCCTTTCCTTTTCTTCTCTCCCGGCCTCTGTCTTGCCGCGTTGGTGCCCAACTCGCACCGCCTGCCGTGTAGCCGCTGCGCCGTGGCCACGGCCGCCGCTTCGATCCAAAAGGTGCCGCCGAGCAGAAGGTGTGCCCGAGCCGCCAGGGACGCTCAAGCCCATCATCCCCCCCCACAGCGCCGCTCGTTTTGAGCCACATCGGCTACGGATGATCACGATGATGCTGCTGCTCGTGATGGTGATGTTGATGGTGATGGTGGTGGTACTGGTGATGATAATGGTGCTGATGATGATGATGCTGATGATGATGCTGATGATGTGATGATGATGCTGATGATGATGATGATGACGATGATGAGGATGAGGATGAGGATGAGGATGACGATGATGATGACGATGCTGATGATGATGAGGAGGAGGATCATGATTACGACGACGATCATGATTACGAGGATGATGTTGCTGCTGATGATGCTCATGATGAGGATGATGACTGTGTTTGTGATGATGAGAAGGAGGAGGTGGAGGTGGAGGATGAGGATGATGATGGTGCTGATGCTGCTGCTGATGGCGATGGTGATGATGATTTTGATGATGATGATGATGATGATGATGATGATGATGATGATTATGATGATGATGATGCACATGTTGTTGATGATGATGCTGGTGCTGATGGTGATGGCGCAGATAAGTCTTTCTGTGTTTGTGATGCTGCTGCTGCTGATGCTGATTCTTATGATGATGATGATGATGATGATGATGATGATGATGATGATGATGATGCTGATGCTGATGCTGATGATGATGATGATGATGATGATGATGATGATGATGCTGATGCTGGTGGTGGTGGTGGTGGTGGTGGCGATGATGATGCTGATAATGCTGATGATGATGATGATGATGATGGTTATGATGAAGCTTATGCTGCTGCTGCTGCTGATGATGATGATTATGGTGCTGATGCTGCTGCTGATGGTGGTGGTGGTGATGATGATGATGATGTTGCTGCTGATGATGATGATGATGTCGATGATGATGATGATGATGATGATGATGATGATGATGATGATGATGATGATGATGATGATGATGATTGATGATGATGATGATGATGATGATGATGATGATGATGATGATGATGATGATGATGATGATGATGACGATGCTGACGCTGATGCTGTTGCTGATGATGCTGATGCTGACTCTGCTGCTGCTGCTGCTGCTGCTGATGATGATGATGATGATGATGATGATGATGATGATGATGATGATGATGATGATGCTGATGATGATGATGATGATGCGGATGCGGATGCTGATGCTGATGCTGATGCTGATGCTGACGCTGATGCTGATGCTGATGCTGATGCCGATGCTGATGCTGATGATGATGGGTTGTTATGATTGTGCTGATGTCTCTGATGATTACGTGTTAATGACGGTGCTTGTGGGGGGAACTGCCGAGGCAGAAGCGGCAGCAGCTGGAGCAGCAGGCCGATCGGGCCGCCGCGTCCAGGCCCGCCCTGGCATG